AGTTGTTGGTTCAAGCTTAAGTGAAGAATCCTCACCGGAGACTGATTTTACACCAGAACCCCGCGCAGAAACATCAAAATATGGGCGAAAGCGGAAACGGGTCGAGAGAGACAATTATGTTAGTTGGGAGAAGATAGTTTTTTGATATATAAATTTTTCGATAACTGCAAATAATTTAGATTAATCCTGACTGGTAGCTTTGCTTGTATATACAAAATAGAAGCGACATGGAGTAATTTTTTCCTTGCCAAAAAAACTGTGACCCTCCCCAGGTTGAGAATAAAACAGGTTTGACCCTCCCCAATTTGTAAAAAATTTACTGATGATTACAAAGTTCTTCGGGATGGGCAACGGAATAGGCCATTTGTACTAAGAGGTCATGTGACATCGTTTTTATGAAAATGAAAGTTATATGATTTTGCCTTCAAAAAAAATGATTAGTGGGTCATATCCTAAAGAAAATAAAAGTGATTTGGTTTTCAAACCTGCACCATTGTCTTAAAATGAGTAAGTTCGTAGCTGGTCACGTGACCAAAATGTGATTTTGAAAATTACGAATTACTTCTTTCTGAACACAAATTTTGCATTTAAACTTCAAGGAAAATGTTGAAAAAATGATGTGGTAACGTTTGCAGCACATCTGAGCGTAACTATCAAAAGTTTAACAAGATGTTAGCAAAAAGTAGCTTTGGCCACCATGTTGGAGGGCAAGAGCATGCCCTCCAACATGGTGGCCAATACAAATCTTACTACTTTGTTGAAAAATCAAAGTGCCATAAAATATCTTCCTTAAATGCGTTTCCTCTCAAATCTCGGACGTAAGATAATTTTATGAGCTCTGTCAATTTTTGGCACCAGCGAGGTTCCAACTCATTGTTTAAAGGCCGCATTGGTCACGTGACCTCTAAGTGCAAGTGGCTTATTAAAGGTAGTTCTAACCTTATTGGCTTACTTGGGCTCCATTGCTTCATCCTTTTTTTAAATTTTATATGTATATTTTGTTTGTATGGCAAATTGATAATAAAACAATAATAAAACGATATAAGCCCATCCGTTTACCAGTCCTCCGGTAAAACCCCTTACCCAGATGTATAAGTCCGGGGAATATCAGCGGCTGTGTGGGGTTCGTTGGCTGATTTTTTTTTAAAAAAATGCAGTACCATTTACCGGCCAGTTTGACGAGTCAAGTTGTTCAAAAAACCTATTTAGCAAACCCTCTACGCACAACCGGAAGCCACTATGTCTGGTTTAGTTTTCACTGGCAAATTAAATGATCAAAATTAATGTGACCCCAGTGGCCTGAGGAATGGTCAACCAAACGCAACTGAGCTATTCTACCAACAAAACTCGATACATCCCAGCTTTTCTCTGTCATGGATTCACTACAATCCCCAGTTTCCCGAAAAACCACTTTTCCGTCAACAATAAGCTCAGCACGAATCTCGTTTACGTAACAACTTCCTCCAACAAGGAACCGAAGAGAATTGCCATTAATACCAAAACAGGGTGACGTCATCGTGCCTTGGGGAACATCGCTTTGGTTTGCACCAGCCTGATGGGAGGGACTGGGCCGATTCTCGAAGCCGCCAATCCACCAATTCCCTTTGTGATTGGCAGGTCCTTTGCCCCTCTGTAATGAATTATCGCCGTATGTTGGCTGATTGTTGAATGCATTGCCAGTCAATGTCCAACCTGACAATCCGTTTTCGAAATCAAACAGAGTGCCACAGTGTGCTGAAAATAAGTAAAACGATTACATCTTGAGGTTCGGGTTAAGGCATCTTTACATGGTGGCAGGGAACCCCGGGTAGGTAAGGTAACCCGCTTAGTTAGGGTTATACCCGCCTGTCCATAAAATCCGTCTCTCATTTTAATGTGATCAAGTTTACATGATAGGTTGTCTGCCAGACCGGTTAACCCTCCCAGCCGGGGTCAAATTTTGCCATGTAAATATTTTAAGGTCGGGTAACCCGCCCAGCCGGGTTTGAGGAACGAGGAGAGACGGCTGTATTTGTAGACTTTGTATTTGTATTTGTATCCAAAGTCAAGTCTCTCTTTGTACAAGTATGTTTTAAAATGTGTAACCTAGCACTGACGTTAACCAAGTATTTTACTTAAAGCCCTGTGCAAACGGACGCAACTTTGTTGGCCAACAACTCCCAACACTGTTGGATGTTACATGTTCCGTCCGTTTGCACAACTGCCTACTGCATGTTGTTGTGTGTTGTTGAAAGTTGTTGCGCAAAATTTGAAACTTGTCAAACTTTTGAGTCAACAACTGCCAACATTTCCTCCGTTCCGTGATCGCCGAAGCGTAGCGCAACAATGTTTGATCCGTTGCACAGCTCTCCCAACATTGTTGGGGCCACGTACGTGCATTACATACGCTCTCCAAAGTCTTATGGGTTTTATCCTTTACACGATGCATTGTAGCTCCCAACATTGCTGGGAGTTGTTGCATCCGTTTATACACCACTACCAGCACGGACGCAACAGCTCCCAACAATGTTGGGAGTTGTTGCGTTCGTTTGCACGTAGCTTTAGTAATACCAAAACTCGAAATTCCCAACTGTTGAGACAAGTCAGGCATTCCTTGAATTATGACAAGGGCACCCAACGAGAACATAGTTCAAAACCACTTAAACATAGCATTGTTAAACGTGTTTTAGTATTTAAACGGTGAATATGGGCATATTTTTATCCCCTTTAAATTTTTCATCTGTTCGGATTTCCTAGCTGAAAGTCTAGTGATCCGAAAATTATAGGGATCAAAACTTACCTGTTCGAAAATTTCAGCCAGAAAAAAGGTTCCCGAAAATTCTAGGTGACCTTTTTAGGGTAAAAATCCGTTGAAAATGGGCAATTTTACCATTTTTTAGATGTTCGAAAATCCTAGGAGAGGCAGGCAAGCAAGTAATTTGACAACAAATGTTCCGAAAATTCTAGATCTCAAATCGTCTTCCGAACAGATATTTTTCCGAAAATTGTCATTGGGTGCCCCTGATTATGAAAACGTTTGTACAAAATATCCCATCTCCGGCAGCCCTTGGAGCAATCAGCCTGGAGTCCAAAGATTAATTAAGGTGTCAGTCAAGGTCAGGGAGAGCGTTAGAATTCATTAAAAATAAATATTCTCCTTACTACCTGTGCAAATCACTCCATCTCCAACAAAGCCGCCACAACAAGTGCAATTGAATGAGCTTACGGTGTTACTGCACAAGGCATTTAATGAACAGTTATGGGTTCCAGTGGTGCACTCGTCTATATCTAAAATAAGGCGTAGATATAACTCAAACCGTTATTAAAAACATGCATTAAAGAGGGACCGAAGTCAAGTCAGGTGAAGTGTTGGCCATTAGCCGCTTTAAAACCGAATGTCATTTCACCTTAGATTGTATTTATTGTTTCTGGGTTTGATCAAATCTTTAAAGCTCTTTGGTGCATTTTCGTTGTTAATGATATTGAAAACTATACAGACTATTTTTTCGAGGCGTTGATTCACAAGCTGTTCGACTCCCCCAGTCTTACAGCAATGTCACAAAACAGGTTGCACGTTTTAGTTGCCTGTTTTACCGTACCTTTATTCACGGTGGGTTCAGATTTCAAAGTGGGTAAGGGTCCTGGTTATCCAGACCCTAAGATAAAGTCCCCTAAAATTTACTTAGATAAGATGTTCTTCGGTAAAAATCAAGGACTTTCAAGGACCATAAACCGATTTCAACTACTTTCAAGGCCTTGAAATCAAACTGCTGAAATTCAAGGGTTTTTAAAAGACGTTATACCTGGTTTACAATAACAGGTCCTTAAAACTTACGAGAAAACAGAAAAGACTTTGCAACTGACCACCAACCTGTACAGTTATAACCATTTCCTCTGTACCCTGGTTTGCAACTACAGTTAAAGGAACCTTCGGTGTTGATGCAGGTGGCATTGTCGCTACAATTGTGAGAGCTGATTTGGCATTCGTCTACGTCTGAAATAAAATGTTAGGAGCGTTTTCAATAAGCGTACGAACTCTGAGAATAAATTAACCTGAACATCTTTGTAATTTTTTTGGAATTAAAAGTACTTAGAAACTAAAGAAAAAAATGACAGAAAAGAGTTTGCAACTGAACACCAACCTGAACAGTTGTAGCCATTTCCTCTGTACCCTGGTTTGCAACTACAGGTAAAGGAACCTTCGGTGTTAATGCAGGTGGCATTGTCGCTACAATTGTGAGAGCTGATCTGGCATTCGTCTACGTCTGAAATAAAATGTTATAAGAGATTTTCAAGACGAAAACGAACTCTGAAGTTATATTATGCCTGAACATTTTTAGTGTAATTTGTTTGCCATAAAAAGTCGTTAAAACTAAAGAAAAAGTAGGAAAGACTTTGCAAGCACGTACGTGAACAGTTGTAGCCATTTCCTCTGTACCCTGGTTTGCAAGTACAGTTAAAGGAACCTTCGGTGTTGATGCAGGTGGCATTGTCGCTACAATTGTGAGTGCTCATCTGGGATTCGTCTGCGTCTGAAATAAAATGTTTAAAGATGTTAACTAAATTCAATTCTACTTCAAACAAAAAGGTAGTAAACATAACAACAAATAAAATATTTTTATTATGTAGATACTGATGAAATACCAGGATTTTTCCTGTTACTAAAAAATCATATCTTCATCGCGCGCAGTGAAGTGCTATTTTTATTTTTCACGTGTGAGGATATTGGTGTCGCCATAGTTACTAACATAATTTTTCTTCTTCATTAGAATTTTGACTTTTTAGAACAGAAAATATAAGTATTATTGTCTTTATTTCTCCTTTATAACTTAATATCCGAGTTTCATAACATTTTTGTTACAGGCATTTTGCGATAGGTGACCACTGTAATTGCACTATTTTGCTGTTTCGAAAATGAATTTTTAAAAAAGTTGTGTTTTATGTAGGAATCTCATCAGTATCTATAAAATAAACAGAACATTACATTGCCGCTTGGGGATACGAATTTTATCTTCTCTCTCGTGCTGAAAGCACTGGAAGATAAAATTCATATACCCGCGCGGCCATGTGATATCCTCTATATACAAAAACGGCGAATACCAATACGAATTTGAGAATGGCCTAGATAAGCGAAAAATTGCAGGACGATTTTTTTCAAAATTTTACCTTGACATGTTTTGCCGTCACCTGTAAAGCCCTCTATACATGAACAAAGATAGGAGCCAAGAGTGTTCTTGCAGTTTGCGTTGACGTCACAAACAGGTGGCGTCTTCAAGCACTCATCATCATCTAATGGTACAAAACAGATTTTAGCATAGGAACTATGTGGGTTATTTCTAAGTCAAGGTCATGCAAAGTGTGGATTTTATTTGTACAGCTTCCTAATGTTGCGCATACAATACATGGCAATCTTATTCGATTTGCAACTTGGAACTTTGTTATCGTATTTTGGCACTCACACGTTCTCATTTTCCCTCAGTAAGACTAGGAAATAAACGGAAGAGAACAGACAGATTATCGTACCTTCTCGTCTCATATAGAACCTTAGCTCATCTGTCACAAAGTCTTCAGGTCTTTCTTCTTTGGTCTGGCTGTTAAGCTCGCACACTTTGCCCGGAATGTAAAAATTGTAACTCGCACACCTGGGCTCTCTTTCACAGTTGTTCTGGCACTCAACAATGGCCCTCACTGCAAACTCTTTGAAGGTGTGACCCTTGACAGCTTTACCAGGAAATGATCTCTCTGAAATTTTACATTGCCCTCCGCCAGCCGCACTTCCGTACATCCCGGATATAAGACAAATTGTGAAGAGTGCCAGAGACATCTTAAAGTCATCGGTTTCTAAAACTTTGAAGAATTTTACACCTTATTTTTCTCAACATCAACTTCCTCTCAGGGTGAAGCGGCGCCGAAGTATTTAGAGTTCACATCCCGAGGGAGACGTCCGGGGAGCAGTCGACAAAGTTTTATAAGGGCAAACGGGAGGCTCCGCCCCGAATAACGCCATATCACGTGTCTAGGGGGAGGGCAAGAGTGTGAGGGTATTTCTCACCAGAGCTTCTCCGTTTGTAACGCCGTTCTGACGAACCACAATTATGGCGAAACAGCTGTCAACGGTTATTTGCTCACTCAAACAACCCATCGAACTGGGGTCTATATCCACTTATTTAGATCCAGTTTACACTGGTCCGGACAAATTTTTGAACGGATAAAAACTTGCACGAGTCCGCCTTTCGTTTACACGGTATCTGCAGAACCGTGCAAGGTTTTTAGAGGCAAACATTACTACAATCTGTAACAGAATTTGCATCCGGGTTCCGTGTAAAAGGCCTGTTGCTGTACAGGTAAACAATTCGTTTGTTCCTCCAAAAATTTGTCCGGGCCCGTGTAAACGCCCCTCATGACTATCTGAGGATTAACTTTGTGCAGAAACAACGTTTTAACATCTGTGGTAAAGTGATTTCAGCACTGAAAATCAACTCATTTTCTTTTTTCGGTAACTCTCTTTTGATGAACAGTGAATTAAAAAATTAGTCTCATATTCGGTAGACGCTGCGCTCCAGCAGGATGCTGAATTTGGCTATAACCAATTCTGTCATAGGAGGTTAATCCGAAGAAGTTAGCACTCCGCTTAGACGGTTGTATGTTTGAAAGGCTTTTTTATGATCAAAGTTGATTATTTAAATAGAGTAGTTGCCACTAATTTGATTGCAAATTTTAATAGGATTTGCCGAAACTATTTTCCTTTCATGTATATAAACCCGTGGAAGTGACAGGAGACTAACTCTGCTGGGAGTCGGACACTGTAGACTTTCCTGATGGAGAGACGCCGAGCGCGCGAGTTGTTATCGATAAAATATGTTAAGCAGTAGCATCCCTTTTTGCAGTCCTTTTTCGCTGGGATTAAACAAAGTTAGATCTTGTTTAAATTACTAGATCTAATATTTACGATTAACAGCAATAAAAAGCCCAGAGCTACTTACCTAGGATTTTTTCCCACAGATTAATTCGAGAAAAGTTTCTTGTGTTGACCAGTCAAGAAGAACCAAAGAAAATGACATTGCTTCCGTGACAACAGGAATGTATGATATACTAACAGCAGGTTGGTAATAGAACACCTGAATTTTGGCATTAAGTGCGTTTATTTATTCACTCAAAGTTATTTTGAAGATTTAACATTAGACGATATCAGACTTGCCAGATTTAGAAGATTTCTGATAGGAATCGTAAGCAATGTGCCCTGCAACGTGCGCGTTCATCAGTGCAATAGCTACTAAATGAATGAGCCCACCAACTTGACAGCCAGCATCCTCTGAAGTGCTACACATTGTTAAAAGTGACTTAGGTTTAGTCAGGGGCACCCAACGACGGTTTTCTCCTAAATACATCGGAAAACTTTTAAGGCTATCCAGAGTATTTTAAGATATCTAGAAATGCACTCTTTTCGACGCTATAAAATTTGTATGTACGTGTTTGGTCATCCTAGTGGAACTTTAGTCCTTTGGAAATGACAAGGGCTTGAGAATTTTTTCTCCGAAAATTTTGGGTGAAATTTGAGATACAACGAAAATTAGACATTCCCTGCTTAATTTTTAACGCCATCTTATTTTTGAATCGGAAAATTTTAGGTTCCCTTTTTCGTATAAAAATGGCCTTACTTGGGAAGACAAATGTTAAAATTAACTTGAGAAAATCGTAAGGGATTTATACGATATGCTTCGAAAATGGTACATGAATGGAACGGTCATGTGGAAATTTTTAGCCGTCGTCCGGTTATAGAAAATTGTAGGCAATATTTGCTTCTCCGAACAGATATTGTACCGGAAAAGAGTCGTTGGGTGTTCCCGCTTAGTTTACGCCGTAGGAAAATTCGCCTTCCAATCTAAAACTAGTCTACTACACAGCCGTTTTTAGAGTCGTCACTAAAAACCGCTGTGTCAGACTAATCTAAAACTAGACACATCAAAATATATAATATAAGCTAATATAACACTAGTCGATCGTTGACTAGCCTGCGAGCAAGCTCTCCCGGCGCTCTTGTGGCGGGGTGGGAAAAGAAAGGAGAGCTTGCAACTACACGGGTGATGAATGGGCAATTAAAATTTCTAAGAGCGGATGTCTGTAAATGTCGACCAGAGGTGGGAAAAATAAAATTTTTGAAAAATCCCCCCAAAATTATGTAGACTACCCTAGGTATTCTACTAATGAAGATATAAATTTTAGTTTCATTAGATAAGTATTTTGGCGATACGGCGAATGTCAAGTTCGGGCGATTGACGGCCTCCGCCAGACCACTTTTACCGGGCTACGAAAAGACAACGAATTCAAATTCGAATTCAACCGAATTCAAATATCACCCAACCCAAAAAGCTTCTTATCGTATTAAAAGGGTTTTAATAGACATATTGAGTGGTCATGTTCTTGAATTGACTGCAAATGGAATATTTTATGAATTTTTAAATATTTACACAGTTTTAAGGCTTACGCGAGCAAAATATTGTCAAATTTCAAAGGCCTAAAATCACATCCGATACCTGATTTAAAACAGAAAAGGACATTCCACATTAAAAAGCAATCTCTAAGCTTTCAAAATATGCTTTCAAAACTCTGGGCAACATATGAAATGAATTTTTGGGAACGCAAAATTCACGGAGCACTTGTGTGTAATTTGACCTTTCTGACTTGAGAGTTAAGAGATTCGGCGCGACACAAATCAATCCTCCAACAAATGTTTCAGGCAAAATACGTTTAATTTAGGCAATCTCAAGTCCCACAGTAATACATAGATGCTTCACAGACATTAGGTGGAAAGTTTCATGCCACTTTGTCAGCGATAAAGACCTATTACTCTAGCCTTCAGGTGCAGTATTTGAACTCGTTTGGCTATGTTAAATGTAAACATGTGGGACAAGTTCTTATCACGAAACTACACAAGTTTTCAAAATCTACACCAAATACCTATCCTGTCTAGTATATACTGAGGTCTACAATTTGTTTGTTTGTACCTTGTGTCCTTGTTTGACTTCATTTCACAACGAAATTCCCGCTCGCACGACATGTCACGTGTCTCGTAAAAGGGCCGTTTTAGACCTGTTGCGTTCCGTAAACATGACACACAGCGATTACTTCTGATTTGTGCAAAAAAAATCAGTCCCTAACCTATATGTTATAGGTATACCATTGAATGAGCAGACAATCTCAATTTTTTTCTTACCATGCAGCTTTACCGATCTCAGGCTTGTGATCCCCGAGCGTGTGTAAATAACGTGTTCTTTCTAGTTGTTTGTTTCGTTGTTTGTTTTAGTTCAACACTTTTCCCCCGTCCCCATGATAGATTAGACTGCGAGCAGTCTCTTGTTTTTCTTTGCAAAGTTACTGCACGCGAAACCTAAGCACGCGAGCGGCGAAGCCGGGAGCCGCGAGAAAAGAGGGTGTAAGCCCGAGGAGAAAAAATATTTATCCTGTCAGGTTATTAAATGAGGGTCATAATGGGGTTAACCGATAGCCGTAAAACGTCCAAAAGTTTAGTCGATAGCCGTAAAAATTGAAAAAATTTAACCCTTAGTCGTAAAAAGGGTAAAAAAAAGTTAACCGTAAGAGAAACTGTTCCCTGGATTTTTAAAAGTAACCGTTGACATTTCTATGGGTAAAATAATATTAGAAAAGAAATACTTAAAAGTATGATTTATCAAATGTTAAAATGTTTCAAAAGAATAACTTATTTCATTCCGAGATAATCCCAAGACCTTTATTTTGCTTAAAGATACAAAAAATGCAGGTTTATTAATATTTAACTCTTTGAAACAAAAAAAATTAATTTTTAACTTTTCTGTTAACCGTAACTGAAATAAATTAACCGATAGCTGTAAAAGAGCCAAAATTTTAGCCGATAACCGTAAAAGTCACCACCCCACTGAGACCATCTTAAATACCGTAAAATTCCGAAAATAAGCCCCGTGGCCTATTTTTTTCAAAGGTCCTTTTTGAGGGGCTTATTTTTGGAGGGGCTTATTTTCGGAGAGGCTTATCTACGGATGGAGAATTGCGTCTCAAAATCAGTTGGGCTAGCCTTAGAGTTGGAAGTAAATTTACCGTTTTTTCGGTTTGAAATCATGTATCGGATGTGATTTTAGGCCTTTGAAATTTGACAATATTTTGCTCGCGTAATAGCCTTAAAACTGTGTAAATTTAAAAATCCATAAAACATTCCAGTTGCAGTCAATTCAAGAACATGACCACTCAATATGTGTATTAAAACCCTTTTGATTGCTACCGGGCATCAGCCGGCAGCAGACCATATTCTTGATCCATTTGAGATTTTTGCTTGCTTTTTGCTTCGATGGTTCCATGGTTCCACGGTTCCATGGTGGTCATCTTTGACTGCAGCGCTGTGCAGTCAGCGGTTTGCTTAGCTGCCGCGCCTGTTTTTCTCTTAGGAGCAACCGGCCATTTTGTTTTGCTCTCATGTAAGATCTGTGCAGAAATCGTAGTTTATCGGACGCTTGCTGTCTTTTTAAACGGCCTAAACGGTAAGAACAGTTCAAGACGTAATGTTCGGAACATTTTTTCGGTTTATTTTTTTTATTCAGGTTTCAAGATTAGTTATAGCGAGTAACAGACCTGCCAACTCTCACGGTTCTGCCGTGAGTCTCACGATTTTTGTCATTTCTCACGGTCTCACGACAAGGCTCCTCAATCTCACGGGTTTTGGGAAAAATCATTCTGAAATGATTTAAGTTGTTGAATCAGAATAAAAATAGGAAATTAACGAGGAATGCTTGTGCCATAAAGTGAAAAACTAATAAAGAAGAACACTATTCTTACTCTTTTGTACCCAGCTGTGATTTTCACTTGTGTCCAATAAACTTAATCGTTTTTCTTCGTGTCTGTCCGCCATTTTGAAAGGGGAGTAGGCCCTGGGAACGAGGTCTAATTCCCAGGCGTCTCTTAGGCGTCTCCCATGTTGAGTTTCCCAGTAGTCTTTGTAAGTTCAGCGCGGGAAAGCGATCGCAATCGTATAAACATGGCGAAAAGAGGTGGTGATTTTTCAATAGAAGATTCGAATTCTGACACTGAAACGGACCGGGAAGAACCAGCTGAAAAGATTGGCCGAAAATATGACGGAGCAGCGAAATATCGGGTAAAATACAACCCCTCTTGGGCCAAAGAATACCCTGTAAAAGCAGTTGACAATGACCGATATAGCTTCTTCTGTATACCATGTGATAAATCTGTTAGCTGCCACCATCAAGGACTTCGTGATGTCAAAGTGCATTGTGAACGAGATACACATAGGAGAAGAGTTGAAGATGAGAAAAAGAGTCATTCTATACGAAGATTTCTTTCAAAACCTGGGAATTCTGGAAGCAATGTTATTAAAGCTGAGGTTATGATAACTAACTTCTTAGTACAACACAACCTGCCAATTGCAACAGCGGATCATTTGGGCCCTTTGTTCAAGGAAATATTTCCTGATAGCAAGATTGCAGCAGCCTATGCCTCAGGACACACGAAAACTTCAGCAATATTAAACGTTGCCCTGGGTCCCCACTGCCACAATTATTTAGTGGATCATTGCAAAAGCCATCCCTTCAGTCTGGGTATAGATGGCTCAAATGACACGGGATTTAACAAGATGAACCCTGTAACTATCCGTATATTTGATATAAATCGATCAAAAATGGTCACAAGTCATTTTTATGATATGTGTGTTACCAGTGGGGTTGATGGAGGAAAAGCTGCAACCATTTTTGATGTTATGGATCAAAAATTCACAAAAGATGGAATGCCGTGGCTGAATGCTATTTAGCCTAAGTGTGGACAATACCAATGCTATGATTGGACGCAACAATTCGATTGCATCACGCTGTAAGACAAAAAACCAAGGCATTTTTATTTCTGGATGTCCATGTCATTTGGCTCATCTTGCTGCAACTGCAGCAAATGATTCTTTCGCAGAGATTATTGATGTTAATGTTGAGGATGTGCTTATCGACCTATATTATTGGTTTGATAAGAGTTCTAAACGCAAAGGAAAGCTTGCAGAGTACTTTGAATTTTGTGACCAAGAGTATCAGCAAGTGTTAAAGCATGTCACCTGCCGTTGGCTTTCTTTGGAACGCTGTATTGAAAGAGCACTTAAGAAGTTTCCAAGTCTGAAGTCTTACTTTCTGAGTGAAGGTTTTTCAGATGCAAGGTTTAAGCGACTTAAGGATGCATTTTCGAATCCTCTCCTGGAACCAGTCCTTCTGCTCCATAATGCATCAATTCAGCTGTTCACACAGTTCAACAAACTACTGCAGAGAAGTGAGCCAACAGTCCATGTTCTGCAAACTTCTATGTTGACCCTGGCCAAAAAGATTGCAAACCGTATTGTGAAGCCTGAAGTCCTTGTGAGGCAAAATGTGGAGTACTTCTATGACAGGTTTGATGCAATATTTCATGAAATTCCAGTAGATGCTCTTTTTGAAGAATTTTGTGACTACCGATCACTTACTGATAGTGACATTGGTGGGGATGCTTGGCAGGCAGCAAAAGTGGTTGATGCAATGGAAGGTGGTACTGAGGTATTTCATTATCGTGTTGACATTCTTTGGTGGTACATTGCACACATGAAACAGCCTGGTTCCTCAGCAAAGAGATTCCAGCACCTGACCAGAATTGCAGAAGCAGTACTTGTGATCCCACACAGTAATGCAGAGGAAGAGCGCCTTTTCAGCATTGTTCGTAAGAACAAAACTGACAGTCGTTCCTGTTTAGGCCTTGATGGCACCTTGTCTAACATTTTGGCCATGAAGTTGGCTTATCCAGAAGAAATGACACCTTGCTATAAGTTTCGTCCTAGTGATGACCTATTAGAATCATCAAAGAAAGCTGCATCTTCTTACAACAGGGAACACAAATAAAACATTTAAATAAACTGTTAATGACTTTCCTCGATGGAAAAGGGGTTTGTTTAATCTTGATCGGGAAAAAAATAGAATCTCACTATTTTTTATAGAATCTCCAGATTTTTTTTCATGGGTCTCCAGATTTTCCTTTATCAGGGGTTGGCAGGTCTGCGAGTATTCTTTTGTCACACAGATTGTTATCTCGGTAATCAGGATTGTAAGTTACATAAGTGAACGGCATGTGCTGTACATCTACCTGACCTGTGAATAAACAAGTTTTGGCCTTTACGTCATTTGTTCGCAACTCATCTCATCGATCCTGTGTACGATATTGTTCGATAAAGGAACAGCCTATCAGCACTGCTGTTGTTTTAGAATTTCGTGAATTGTTAAAATGAATTACAAAATGGTATTTGAAACCTTAGCGAGTTATATGAATGTAAGCATATTTGTCTTCGTGATCGGTTCATTTTTTATATTACGCTCTGAGTGTTTCATAATGCCAGCAAGTCTAAGTTATTGACTTTAACAAAAAAGAATTTATATGTCCAACTGTTATACAAACTGTCTTTATCCTTTTCGCTTCGCAACTAACGGCAGCATTTCCCTTCTCAATGAGAACTTCTAGTACGATAAGAAGCTCTTTGGGTTGGATGATAATAGACCTTGTCACGGTTTTCGACGCCATCTTGACGAGCAGGCTAGAGTAGGCTAACGCTTGAGAAATTACAGTGTTTGTATGAGAATGTAATGTCGAATAATTTCCGTAGAACGGCTGTTCTGAAAAAATATCAATTGTAAACTAAAGCTTCACTCCTAAGGATTCTACTGAAAAAAAAATTGAAGGCTTGACATGCGCTAGAAGACCTAGAACCACTTAAAAAAAATTTCTAAACATTTGTCTGTAAGAAAGTCCCGGGAAAAATTACAGACAAATTGCAGAAAGCCTCTGGAGAAATTTAAGCACAGGTACGCCCCCAAATTTTTTTAGTGTAATCCTTTACGTTGTAGCTTTAGTTTACAATTAATATTTTTTTCAGAACAGCCGTTTTACGGAAATTATTCCACATTAGATTCTCATACAAACAATGTAATTTCTCACAAGTTTGCCTACATGTACTCGTCAAGATGGCGTCGAAAACCGTGACAAGGTCTGTTGAATTCGATTGAAAGCAAGGTCTTTTCGTTGCCCGGTCTAGAGGCCCGAAAAAGCGGTCTGGCGGAGGCCGTCAAGCGCCCTAACTTGACATTCGCCGTATCTCCAAAATATTTATCCAATGAAACTAAAATACTAAAATACCAAGGGGAGTCTACTTAATTTTGGGGGGATTTTTGAAAAATTTTATTTTTCCCACCTCTGGTCGATATTTACAGACATCCTCTCTTAACTGCTCCCAAAATTTTACCTTTGCTCGATTTGCTCGCAAAATTTAAACGAGTGCTCGCTTGCTCCTGCTCCCCAAATTTTTGCAGTTCGCTTTCTTGTCAGTATTGCTCGAAATTTTGTAATTCCGCATGGTGCTTAATTCCTATAAATATGGCTATCAAGTTCAGTGGAAATGCACGCGATAAATGACAACGATAAATAATAAATTAGCTAATCTAGCTATATATGGTTAAAAAGAGAAGATATCGTTACCTTTAATTCTTCTGAGTTTCTCTACCGCTCTACTCACTGGGCCTTAATTAGGCCGTGTTTTCAATAAAAACGGTTTGGAAGTTTTAGGATTCTTCCAGACGAAGTTGTTCATGTTTGAGTTGAAATGCTCGATGAGAAGAGTCAACAAGGCTTTCACATTTACCTTGCTCACGTAATCTCAATGTACAGCTTCTATTTCACCTTGAAGTAATATATCAAACATGAGATGCAGTGTTTCATCACCAGATGAAACACCGAGAAGAGAGTTGAAAATACGACGCGCAGCGGAGTATTTTTGACGAACTTCGAGGTGTTTCATCTGGTGATGAAACACTGTGTCGAATGTTTGATATTTCTTCTCAAACAAAATCATTTTTGAAGGAGAAATTAAGGATGCAAATACTAAGCAGTGTTTCATCCGATTTCCAAACACTCATTAAACATTAATTTCCTTTGTATTTTCTTAATGAATTATTA